CATTGGAAGCAGAATGTAGATAGGCACTAGGCAGCAGAATTTAGGATACACAAAGATTGCATCAGGTGGGAAAATGCATAGCACTAGCTCTGTGTACGATGCATTTAGACACATTAGATGAATCTTTTAAATTGTAAGTTTTCAATTTCTTTATTAATAAAAAAATCTCTTTCCATAATGCCTGCCCAAGTGATAAGATTAGAAGCATTTTTGATATTTTCCATGCTTTTGTCTAGTGAAAAGTAAAGAAAATAAAGGGAAGATAAACATGTTAAGAAAAAAGATTCCAGTATCATGAGTAAAACATTTAAATATTATGTTTCCATTGTTCTTCCAGACGTTCTCCAAAAAGTAAGAAATTCCTCGCAAACTTTCTGTAAAATGCATCCATTACGTGTTGATATGTTGATACCATGGAGACATTTTTCATTTTGTCACATATTTCTCGAATCTTCTAGAATCGTGGGCCTATAAATCTTGCCTTCCAAATCCTTCTAAACTTTCCATGCTGCAATGTCAAAATACTCAAGAAAAATTATCCCAACCATTTCTGTAACAGCAAAAAGCCAGAAATATTTTGAAAAAAAAAAGGGGGGAAGGAAAAAGTGTAAAATTAATTTTATAGAGGTGAATATGAATATGATGCATATTCTGAGAATTTTGATGATATCTCAGAATATGATGAGAATATGCATATTCTCAGAATACAGTCAAAAGTCGTTAATTCGGACACCCATAATCCGGAATGATTTATAATCCAGACCTCAAAGCTACAAACTTTCTGCACATGCGTCGCGTTCACGCATGCGCACAGAGTTTAAGAGTGCGCGTAAGACCTTTACTTCTGCTAATATGTTTGTGCGCATGCGCGTTTAATGTGTAACGGAGGTATAAGCTAAGCTAAAATTATCTAATTCAGTTAATGTTGTAGATTGCGTTGTTCCTTAATCTTCGAATTGGATCCGGCTTATTATTTTTTGCAGACTGTTAGAGCAATTTCCTAAAAGTAAGCTTGAACTTTCGATTATGTCAAATAGAATTTCCGATATATATTTACTAATATGTAATTTGTATCTACAAAGCAAAAGTATGTTTTGAAATCCGAAATCTGTTTATCAATTTCACGCCGCGGATTGGAAGTTGATCTGTCAGCTCTATCCTTATCTTCAGGGTCAAATAGAGTTTCTGATATATATTTATTAATATGCAACGGATCTACAAAGCGAAAGTATATTTCGAAGTTCATTAAACAAAAAGTGGAATTGCTGCAAAAAATGGATAAAGGCATATCCTTTGTTTATCTAAACTTTGTTTATCTTTAACGCCGCGGAGCACGCTGAATTGGAAGTTGATCTATCAGCACTATCCTTATCTTCACGGCAGATGTTTTTATTTTATTTGGCTTATAATTCCTTACTAAATGTAGTATTTCATGTCGATGTACTCTGTCTTTGATACGATTTAAAGCAATTATAGGACTTGAACAGCGGAACTTTGTAACTAAACAAGAAATTATGTCTGTTTAATAGAATTAAAGAGAAAGTATTATCACATGAAACGAAGCAACTTACATTGAAAGAAATGTTTAATAAAGTAAACAAATAAATATTAAGCTTTTTCTTTTTGTAAATTTTGATACCCTTTAGATCATAATTGTTCTTTATTTCATAAATTACGGTTTCATATTTTTAATTTTGTAATTTCTGCATGCCATCTTACCAGATTTAAACTGATGATCTATAATCCGGAAAAATCGATAATCTGGAATCGCCGAAGTCCCGACGAGTCCGGATTAACGACTTTTGACTGTATGATGCATATTCTGAGAATTTTGAATAATCTGAGACAATTACATGGGAAAAACGCTTATTATGAAAAAATTAAAAAGAAGACATTTTAATTAATTACATAGCTAATTTTGCTTTTACTAAGAGCTGTTTCGTAAATTATGCTTTATAGCTATATACCTTGTTTATTTTTCAGATTAAAAATATTGTATAATAAGTTGCCAAAATGAAACTTTATAATATGACAGCAAAAAATAAAAAAATGTTTTATTTAATGTTATTTTTTAAATATAATTATAATATATTACCATTATTTTAATGAAATTTATCAACATTATGATGTTTTAAAAAAATCGCTGAAAAATTCTCAGATCTAGGAGTTAAAAATTTCTATAGAAACTGATCTTAAAATCACCAAAATGTTGACGAGTTGTTAGATTTAGAACCATTTAATAAAAGAATTCACAACCCCAAAAGCGAAAAGTTGTTTAAGAGCTCTTTATTAGAAAAAATGAATTTCGAAATGATTTTGTTTCTCTTCTTGCTTAGAAATTGGAGTATCCCATCATTTATATTAGAAATAGAAACAAATTATAATCCATGAACCTCAAAAGATAACCATATACGTCAGTGAATTGCCAAAAATATTCCTCCAAAATGCTAATTCACACTCAAAATGGCAGTCGTAAAAAGAGACATTTCAGATGATTAAAATTAAGGACCTTCTACTGATTTTGGCCAAAATTAAGGACTTTTAAGTACCAAAAATCGATTTAAAAAAATTTAAGGACTTTTAAGGACTCTTAAGGACCGTACGAACCCTGAATGAACAGATTAAAAATTGAAACCTGACCTTCACCCTGCTCTTCTCACTGTCAGAGCTGGATTAATCATTAATGAAAATAAGTGCATGCTTAGGGCATCAAGGGGAAGGCACACCACAAAGAGGTCTTAAGGACTCAGGAAAGGGCACAACAAAAATTTTCCATTGCTGATTCTACCATGGAATGTAATTTTGTGCAAGTAAACCAAGGCAAAGAGAGAAGGAATGGGAGGAAAACATAAATTTAGGCAGGAGGCACCAAATTCTTTTGAGTGCTTAAGGCCCCTTCTTAAGCCTTAAACCAGCCCTGCTTACCATACAGTTTGATGATTTTTTACAGATTAAGAGGTAAAAGTTACTTACAAGCAGGTGGTTTTTGCAACAGTTTTTTTAAAAGATTCGCAAATTACTGATATTTATCAGTAAGCATTATCAACATATGATAATAAAACATTTTAGCAAATTAAAATACAAATTTTGTATTAAATGAGGATTACATTAAACATTAAAAAAAATTTCCCAAATATTCATGTAATTTTTTCACTATTCTTCATAAGTGCACAGTAATCTGTTTTTGCATTAAAAAACATCAGAGAATTGTAGAGACAAGGCATCATGGGCTCTCTATACCAAATGCAGCTCCTCCTCATTCCCTTTAGGGATTTGGAGCCAAAATTTTGTATTCGTGCAACAATTTTACTCTAATTTCTTGCATTGCTAGCATATTGCACAAGCACATATTTTAAAATTAAGGCAAAAAATATGGTTTATTTATAAAAACCATTGGAACTTGGAATTAAAAAAAAATGGATGCATATAATGATGGCGACACTGCTTGAATGAAGGATTGTTATGAGTATAGTTACCAAAAGAATCGTTGCCACAGTTTTGCACATTCTGAAAATTTGACAAATTCTACTAAGGCAGTTGTGATAACACATAAGTATCAAAGCTTTGATATGACAAACTGTTAAATGCTGAAAGTTTACCCTATTAGAAACAATGTTTAAACACAGCATTTCTTGAGTCGATTTTTAAAAAAATAATGGCACTCACAGCATTAAATTATACAGGCAGATATTTTATTATGACAAAGCCTTTGAGGCCTATTTACATTAGACAGAATGCTCACAAATGAAGTGGCTCACATTCATGTTAAACATATGGGAAGCAAACCATTTCATGCTGCTGGCATATTCAGCTATCAGATAGCACATTCAGCTGAAATATCTGCTTAAAAGAGTTTTAAGTGATCAACCAATGTTAGGCAATATTTTGATGCAATCGAACCCCACTATAACAAACCCAACTTATAACAAATGTGCCCATATACTGAACCTTTTGGTCCCCTCAAATTTTCTAGACACTAGTTATTTTATACTGCTACAGTCAACCTCCAAATGTACGAAAAGAGGACATGATGGACTATATGGATATCTTTGAAACTTTTTTAGGTTTTTCATATTTCTTCCAGAATTTCTGCAATTTTAAATGGAACATCTACTACGCCTTAGAAATCATCCACATTTAGAATTTTAAGATCTACATTCCATCCATAAAAGGAATACATTTTTATGTTACTTTTCTTTTATCTTCACCCCAACACAGATGTGTTCTAAAAAGGTTCTGTACCACAGGTGTAAATCTGATTCTAGGAGAACAGGGACACAATAAGCGTATCGCAGGACAAAGTAACATTAGAGACAATTTAACAAAAGTACATGAATGGATTCTCCGATTCCATTCAAATTCTTTGACTGAGTTGTCCAGCTGAGCTCTTTTCAAGTCAGATGCTAAGACGGAAATTTTGAACTTTTTATATTTAAGAAAAAGTAGTGAACCATACGAGCTTTGAAAAATACATTTTGGTTCATTTTTTAGGAAATGAAATTTTGATCCTTATCGATTTGTTACATTTGAGTATAAATGCTGTCCAAGTTATGTCCTTCAAAAGAGGATTTTGCATTTGTTATGTCTTTGGCAAGACATAGGATATTCTTTACACAGTTTACTGAATCTCTGCGACCATTGATAAAATTTTCCTGCAATTCACATCACACCAGCAGAAAATTGCATATTAGTTTTTTAGACAGTAGTTACATAAAAGTTTGATTCATCAATATTTTTTGTTGTTCATTTTAAATATTTTTATATTATTATGCATTAGATAGTTATTCATGGTTATAAACAGGTAATTCGTGGAAAGAATTAAAACTTATGTTGAGTAATTTATTCTGTAAAATTATAAACATATAGTGAAACTGGAATAGAACAACTGACAAATTTAATAACTCCATAAAATAATGATTGTAATTAAATCTTCATACAATTTTCTTTTTAAAATCAGATTTTTTATTCACTTCTTTTGGCAGATGTAACACTGTAATCAGTTTTTTTTTTTTTTTTTTTGTTACTCATCATTCAATTTTTACATGTTTTCATGAGATAACCCCTTTTTCTTATTCGAGTGGATATAACAAATGAAACTTCCAGTCCCTTGAAATTTGCTGTGGTGGGATTCAACTATACCTTAGTTTTAAAATACAGTAATGTTCAAAATCCACAGGCAATATGTTCAGACTTACTATGGATATGTGAAACTGCACATAACAGCAAATACTGCATGAAATGGTATATTCCTATAACATATGTAATTACAGTTTATTTAAACTGGTAAATCCTGCAAGTAAGACACCACCAACATTAAATAAATTAAAAACTAAATATTCTGCATAATATAATACATTATAAACTGTGCAATTAAATAAAGTAATGCAAAATTTATTGTACATTATAGTATATTCTCTTTTGAACCTCTGACATTTTAACTTCAAAAGAGAAATAAGAAATGAGGATATGCAGTTCTTGTTCAGCATAGCACAACATACTATTTTTAAGGATGGAGAAAATGAGAGCTACTCCCTCTGTCCCATAATGACAGTTGCAGCTGATGAATTTAATGTGTCCTATAATAACAGTGACAAAAGAAAATGCATATAGAATATAACATTTGTCATAAAAAACTAAATCAAATTAAAGAATAAATTTAAAATATTACCCCTAATATATTATTTTGAATGTTCAGATATTTCCTAGATTTTTTTATAATTTCATTATTGGCTGCGAAGCTCTGCTTTTCCTATATGCATGAGCTTAAAATTATTGCAGTCATCTTTCTTCATTGCTTCTAGCATAACTTCTTGAAGCAACAGAAATGTAATATCCAGGATTCTGAAAGAAATATTATCAAAGGCTATAGGATTTCAAGAGAAATATTTTCAAAGGCTATGTTTATTGTTTCTATGGTGCTTTTTCTACTGCGATGAATATGTCTTAAGTTTTTCTCCATAATCTTTGTAAATTTACGTTCACAGTTTTGGTTTTTCAAAGGATCAACATTAGCATCTTGACAAATATTTTTGGAAGCATGTTTCCAGATTCCTGACATGGTCATTCTGTTGCTCTTAAATTGTTTTGCAGCAACTTTCAGCAATTTTTTATATTTCTTTTGATGCAACAAGAACTGGACAATCACAACTTGATCTTTTCTTAAAATTTCTCTTTTTTCATCTTATTTTTACAATAGGTTGACATTCAACTGAAATAAAACAACTGCTTTTGTCAGTGGATAAAGTCAGAAAAATAGTTATTATCCATTATAATTAGGTTAACCAGGTTGACCTAAAAGTTGAAAGATTAGCCAAAACATATGACAATTCAAATATTCACTTGCTCTTACTAGTATGGGACAAAGAGAGTATTCATTTTACTTGCAGTCTAGTAGTTTTTAAATGCTTGTAGCATCACCAATCATGTATTTTAAAGTCTTTATTACATTATGAACTTAAGAAGAAACCACCCGGTGGCGAAGTTGCTAGCACGTTGTGCAGCCGCACCAAAGGTTTGGGGTTCCTGAGCAAGGGTGACTCAGCCTTTCATCCCTTAAGCAGATGTAAAAAGGGAAAGAAACTGAAAAACTATATATGCTGAAACGAATCAGATACTCGCATTCCATTGATAGCTAAGATTCCCACCAAAATATTTATGGCCATTAAGCTAGCAAATGAGATGAGAGTTAGCTTCCTACAACCAGTGAATATACAAAAAGTTCTGCAAAGATCACTTCTATTCTCCGTATTTAGTTACACCGGTTAATAACAAATGGGTAGATACATCAGAAGATAATACCAGGCAAGTCTGAACAGTTGTATTTCAGCTATTTTATGAATTGCTGCGACTTCACTAGCATTAAGAAACTTACTCATCAGTGTACATTTGTAGAAATTCTAATAAATAGAAAGGTGCTTTAAAATTACTTATTTTATGCTAAAAGTGTATTTATTAAAACTTTTATGAGATGAGAATAAAACTAAACTTTAATAACTTTATTAAAAATTTTACGCATATTTTAAGTGGAAATAATTTAATAATTGCAATAAAAATTTAAAAAATTAAAATTCAAAGATTCATCCAATACTTCCAGAAAAATTTAATATTCGTAAAGTCTTAGAAAATCCATTTAAATTCACAAAAATTCATGTCACAATAAAGTCATGATCCGAAATCCAGTACGTGAGAATATGAATAAAAGAAAGCAGCATACATCCTTAATGATGTTTTCAAGACTTTGAAAGAGTACTTGATACATATTCTGCAATTTAAAATCTCCAAAATAACTAGTACAGCTAGATTAAATGTTTTTTTAACACATTATGAGCGGGAGCGGGTATTTGTACCTGTTTTGCAGATTGCCACTTATAAGCGGGACGTGTACTAGTACCCCTTTCGCTGATTGCCGTTTAAAAGCGGGGCAGGTATCCCACTTAAAATCACCACTTTTACACATTGCATGTGGGTATATTTCACCGAGGACTTAATGCGTGTAGAGGGCAGTTTTTCGTGAATTTCGCGGGAGTTTGTCATAAAAACGCAATAAATTGATACATACTTATAATGTCCACCGTATTTATACGATAACGTCACTAAAAATGTACATTTACGTGACCCGCGCTCTAGTGATAGATTGCAAAAAACGAAAATCACATTTCCCGCATGCAATCTGTTAATACTGTTCTGCAAAACTGATAAAAACTCGTCCTTTTATTAATCAAAATGTTATTCTAATATGCTAGTTTAAACTCATTTATAAGAACAAATTTAAGATGATGATGGCTAGAAAAATACAGAATATATATATATATATATATACACTGTTTGTCCATGGAAGAGAAATCCATAATCTGAAGAATGACAGGAAAGTTTGGCTTATGTTCTAAGGAAAAAATAATATTACTAAGATTTTCACTTTTCTAGCGACAAGGGTTTGGTTTATTGAGATTATGGCAAAGCACACTAGAGCTATCTGCCTAAGGGAAGGGATGACTTTATAGAGGATGTTTTATGGGAAACTGGCTTGTATATACGTTACACATGGGGAAAACCACGAAAACACCCATGCAGCCAGCCTGTTTGCGTGATTCGAACCTCAGACCGAACTACCTGTGTTCAGCAACTTTACCGCTTGGCCACTGTAGCATCACCAATCATGTATTTTAAAGTCTTTATTACATTATGAACTTAAGAAGAGACCACCCGGTGGCGAAGTTGCTAGCACGTTGTGCAGCCGCACCAAAGGTTTGGGGTTCCTGAGCAAGGGTGACTCAGCCTTTCATCCCTTAAGCAGATGTAAAAAGGGAAAGAAACTGAAAAACTATATATGCTGAAACGAATCAGATACTCGCATTCCATTGATAGCTAAGATTCCCACCAAAATATTTATGGCCATTAAGCTAGCAAATGAGATGAGAGTTAGCTTCCTACAACCAGTGAATATACAAAAAGTTCTGCAAAGATCACTTCTATTCTCCGTATTTAGTTACACCGGTTAATAACAAATGGGTAGATACATCAGAAGATAATACCAGGCATGTCTGAACAGTTGTATTATTGAACAGTTGTATTGTTAGTGTTGGTGAACCTTTTAGCAACACAGGAATCAATGAATCTACATAATACAAACTACCTAATTTCACAAATGGACTAATCCCTTCCCCATGCAGAAAACCAACCAGAATTATGCTTTACCTGTAGGTGAAAAGTTCAGAAATGTGGCAACAAATTAAATTTAGTTGAGAAGCATAATTATTATTTGCTTAGAAACTGTATTCTTAAATAAATGCATTGTTTTTCTCACAAATGACAGTTTTACACATATTACCATTACAAATATATAATGCATTTTTTATTTTAATCAAATAAGTACTTAATTCAAGATAATTAATAACTAAGAGTCAGATAAGAATATGATTTCCCTCTAAACTTATCTGTGATGGATTTCACATCTAAAATCAGTCATCTATCTTTTTAAATCCTTTATATCTTTTAATTACCTACAAAAACACAACTAAGTATAATTAATTCATATCTCATGCATAATGCAAAAAAATTAGTAAACAATTATCAATTACATGCATTAAAAAGCAACTGCTTGAAATATGAATTATGTAGCATAATCAATATAAAATTCCAATAAGTGCAAAATAAAATCTGATATTCCCTATGAAAATTATATATATTTTTTTCTTTTCTGGCTATATGAATAAAGCAATTTTCCAGTAAACAGTATATGAGTCAATGCAATACTTTTACTAATTAAATTAAGAATCAACTTAATTTTTTTCTCATTTATGCTGAGATGCCAGAATAAGGACAAAAAAAACCTACACCGTTGCCTTCAACCACTCTCAATTAAATGTGATTTTCTTCACTCTTACAAGAGTGTTCTATTTTATTTAGTTCTTCATTAAAATTACTAACATAAGAACCCCCAAACCGATTTTTCATGTTTAGAAAATTTTTACCACCGTGTTTCCTATAATGAAAAAGATTCAATCGCATGACTTTCAAAATCAAAACTTTCATTAGTAAAAGATAAGTAAAGAAATAAATCCTTTAATAAAACATTGTAACTATTAAACAAATACGCAAACAGTAGAAGTAATAATAACAAGCTTGTTTCAATAGAAAATTCAACATAGATGGTAAAAACTGGACTCTCATTTATAAGAAAAAGAAGTTTCGAATTCTTGGTTTTTCAACTTTCAAAAAGAAAAATAATCTAAAAGTAACTGTCATTACTTCCACAGTAGTACACGTTTTGAAACAGAGAGATCCAATTCCTAATGCTACGTCACAATTATATAAAATGTACGCTATCATCGAAAACAAACCAGTGAGACTTACGTGATAAGATAAACAATATTCAGATAACTGAACTCAAGTTATCTCCAGTTACTCAAAGCGACAAACATCATACCAAAAATTGTCAGTTTCTCTCCAGAAAACACTAATATTCTTAATTAAGTTTCTGATTATTCAAAGTATATAACCACCACACTGCAAACTTTTACCACCCCTCAGTCCAACACTTAACACTTCTAAGCACATGAAACCAAAAATCTAATACCGAAACAGACAGACAGACAGACAAAGTAGACAGATGTCTTGTTTTGCACCCGCTAAGTCTTTCTGCACCGATGGGCGAAAAATCAAGCATAGGTGCGAAGGAAAGGTATATAGAAAGAGGGGCAATTTCGTATTTGAGGAGAGTAAAAAGGAACTTCGTACATCTTGTACGAGTTCAAAAGGCCAGGAAGAAAAGATGGGACAAAATAAAATTTAAAATAAATGGCCCAAAAATAATAGAGGGAAAAAAAAAAAAAAAAAAAAAAGGGCCTATAGAAAGAAAAGGAAAAGAAGTAGAAAATATCCTAAAATACGATTGTGTCCATGAGTGTAGTTAAAAGGAGAAGAAACTGTCTTCATTTACAATAAATAGTGTCTCACAGGTGTGTTTGTGTAGTGAGTGTGTTTGGTAATGGTGAATAGATGTGTTACTGGGGAAAAAACAAATATTGACGGTGTTAAAAATGCTTCGTATCAAGGTATTTAGCATGGAATATAAAGTAATATGTACGCTTGCATCCTGAGATATCAACAAAGGTCATCAAACAAAAGTATATATTAATTTAACCAAAGTAACTTATGCTACTTTCATTCTCAACATTTTCATACATTTTTCAAAAAGCAGCAGCAGACTAACAACATAGAACCATATACAATACAACAAGACCACAACCGCATACACCAAAAAAAAAAAAATAAATAAATATATATATATATATATGTGTGTGTGTGTGTAAATTACTGAGTATATGTATTAAAAACACACAAATTAAACAGTATTTATTAATTTAACTATCATAATTTATTACAAGATTAATTATTTTACTATCATAATTTATTACTAGTTAGTTAAATGTTAATATAACACAATGAGGCACACTGTTATTTATATAAGCTCATAGTTCTAAAAATTCATTTAAGGCGGTGAAGAATAAACCATCCCTTACATATGGACATTTAACAGATAGCAAAGAACAGTATGAGAAAAAATCGGTGAGGTATAATATTATTTAAAGGCGAAACTATATTCAAGCGATCTAGAAAGAAAAGAGAATCCAGAAGATCCGAGAGGGAAATAGCGCGATGCCCAAATTATCCCTCTCATCCCCAAATTTTCCCTCTCTCGAGATTCCTTAAGGGCTTTGTAAGTGTTGACAGACGTGAACTGATAACGCTGGCGTCTGTTTGGAGTTGATACACAAAGGAAGCCACAAGCAATGGCAATTTCAAGTATTTTTTAATGCTTTAAACTGATGAAAAATTAAGATTTATTGATTTAAAGGCACTTATTTATAAAATTTGATTTAGTTTAGATGAAAGAAAAGTACTTATCTTAAAATTCCAGGCTTTTGGAGTATATCCTTACATTGTCCGCTGTTTTATTCTCGTCAACATCGGAGCCGAAATTTATTGGAATGATATAGGTTTTGTAGGAGAAAAATAAACATTTTCAAAGAAATTTAATTGATAATCACCAAGAGGAAAGGAAAAATTTTCACTTTTTTACGGAGCGCAGCGATCGTGCTGCCGCTTGCCTCGGTGATCGCAGACTCCAATACGAACATGTAACATCAACTAACTTGCCTACAAGTAAAGAAAATTCCTTACTTTTCAAAATCAAAATTACGAAAGAGAAATTCTAATTAATTGCCTTGCAAATGAAATTTTCAGGGTAAAGTTTTTCAACTATTTTATGTATTTCAAATTATATAAATAAAGCAGTTGTAAACTGTTTTAACTAATGCATTGCTAATTTAGAAATAAGATTGCTCATTTACTTTATTGCCTTTCAAATGTTCCTTTTATTCTGATAATTCTATTTTCTACGCATTGTAATTATGGAATCACTAAACTAAAATTCAAGAACTTCACAGTTTTCAGTTAATTTAGATATCCATGAATAATATCTTTTTTTTTCTTAAATATCAGAATCACTTTTTATCAGCAGCGGAATTTTTGAGAAATAATATATCTGTAACAAACATTCGGAAGTGTGAGGTGTGTTTGTACACAGACGCGTTAGGAGTATTTTCTTCACGTTAGGGTCCTCTTTCAAGGCTTTCGAGTTGTGCAAATGAATTACAGCATGTGTAATCACGGGTAAGTTGAGTCAGCTGGCAAAATTTGACAGTGCGAGGCTTTAATAAAAAGTATGGGAACAGGCTAGAATTGCTTTATTTAAACTGCTACATATAAAAAGTGATTTATTGATTTCTTGCAAGTTAATTTCGCATATATGTGATCCAAAGGTATTTCTATGTTTAAATTGTATCTTCATTGGCGTTAAAAAACTCAGTGTAAGATAAACGCGATATATGTTTTGAATAATAGCAGTAGAAACAAAAAGTAAAACATTCGTGTTGTTTTATTTGTATAACAGATGCATTTCTTTAAAAAATATTAGATTTAGATGGTGCTTTGGAGTTCGCCTTATAGTAAATATAATATATGCAACTCGCATCGAACTTGCTACTAGATGTAATTTTGGTTATGGTAGTGTTGGAATAAATTTAATTTTTAAAGAAACTGTCAAATCTGTAAACCTGTAAAATGTTTATATATTAGTATGATTTGTATTCTGAAATATTTTTATTGAAAATTAATGTGACTCTTTATATTGTTAATTATGTATTTTGCATATAGTTTGAAAGATAGAATTGGCTTTTAAAATATTTTTAATTTAAGAGTAAGCATGTTTTTAGGCGTAAAAATGAGTACTAATTCAGAAAAAAAAAAAAAAAAAAATGAGTGTTTGAAATTATGAAATTAGGGCAACTATGCCATCTTTAGTTAATTAAATATTTTAAGCAAAAATGAGGTTTTAAATTCATAGTAATATATGTGTGTTAAGTTTCAAGGAGTTCTTTTATCCGTGTAATATACCATGTTTGCATATTGGTGTATTTATACATAGCATGTGTATAAAGAAATATATTTTGTAAAATTTGATTTTCACATGATTTACTTTCATGCTTAGTTTATTATACCATGCTTGCATATCTGTGTATTTTTACATAGCATGTGTATAAAGAAATATATTTTATAGAATTTTATTTTCATGTGATTTACTTTCATGCTTAGTTTATTGTTTATGCTGTAACTTCTTAAAAGAACACTTAAAAGAAAAATTGAAGAGCTCCTTTTTGCCGTATAATGAGTGAGAAATCTGCCAAATGAAATTTAAAGCCTTTACCTGTATTTAAAAAGTCATAGAAGCGTGGATATAAAATTTTATAGCGATTAACCTTCCTATCTCAGGAGTAATATTAATTTTCTAGTAGTATTTGCATCAATAACACTTTGCTTTGGTAAACCTTTTGCTACTTACTAGTAAGCTGAGAGTATTGTAATATTTACATAAGGATGTGCAGTGGGATAAATATCTCTTTTCCAAAAAACGGTAACTATCTTAATCTGTATATATCTTTTTTATCTTGGTATGTGGTTTAGATGCATTGAATGAATACAGCTGCTATACATATTATATAATTGCAAATCTGGATAAATATTCCATTTTCAAGTTCTGTGAGTATACCGTTATATATGAATTTTTATCACTAAGTAGCGAAATTACGGTTGATCTTTACATTATGGTAACTTGGCGATTTTTTGGCGAAAATTTGGCAACCAACTCTCCTACAGCAACCCTCTTTTTTTCCCCGCCGCCATTTTGTCTTCACGAAGTAAAGACATGTTTCTTTTCTTTTTATCTACTGAACACTTCTTCCAACAATCTACTAGCCGAATTACACTTATGCTAGAAATTTTATCAAACAAAACTGCTTAATCATGACAAAATTCACTCACTGCAAAATTGGGAAAAGTGCACAATATCATACTCCTTACGTGTTTTTGAAAATAACACATACACATAAACCATGTACACGCCGACTTATTTTTACTTAAAAAAACATCCCCAGAATTGCACAAAAATGGCATTGCGCACACTCTTCACTATATATCCATGTACACTGCTTTTTTCTCATAAATTAGAAAAATTTCACGAAAATACATGACAATTTTCTCAATCTTTAAACCTGGTAAAAAGAACATATATGAAATTACCTGATCGCGAAAAAGTATTTACCCTTTACAAATATGAACATTTCCACATATAAAATAAATAAAATATCCAAAAACTTTTACCTCTAAATCATCTATTACATTATACACATCACCAACGAATTCATACCGCAAGCATTACAAATACTTAGTATCAAATATTTAAATTATTTCCATGCACGTTTATTTCAACTTAAACGTATACCAAATTCCTACAGACATAAAATTCACAAAATAACTATCATTTAATTAAAATATCACTAAACCATGTACACGTCGACTTATTTTTACTTAAAAAAAACATCCCAGAATTGCACAAAAATGGCATTGCGCACACTCTTCACTATATCCATGTACACTGCTTTTTTCTCATAAATTAGAAAAATTTCACGAAAATACATGACAATTTTCTCAATCTTTAAACCCGGTAAAAAGAATATATATGAAATTATCTGATCGCGAAAAAGTATTTACCCTTTACAAATATGAACATTTCCACATATAAAATAAATAAAATATCCAAAAACTTTTACCTCTAAATCATCTATTACATTATACACGTCACCAACAAATTCCTACCGCAAGCATTACAAATACTTAGTATCAAATATTTAAATTATTTCTATGCACGTTTATTTCAACTTAAACGTATACCAAATTCCTAGAAACATAAAATTCACAAAATAACTATCATTTAATTAAAATATCACTAAACCATGTACACGTCGACTTATTTTTACTTAAAAAAACATCCCAGAATTGCTAAAAAATGGCATTGCACACACTCTTCACTATATCCATGTACACTGCTTTTTCTCATAAATTAGAAAAATTTCACGAAAATACATGACAAATTTTCTCAATCTTTAAACCCGGTAAAAAGAACATATATGAAATTACCTGATCGCGAAAAGTATTTACCCTTTACAAATATGAACATTTCCACATATAAAATAAATAAAATATCCAAAAACTTTTACCTCTAAATCATCTATTACATTATACACGTCACCAACGAATTCATACCACAAGCATTACAAATACTTAGTACCAAATATTTAAATTATTTCCATGCACGTTTATTTCAACTTAAACGTATACCAAATTCCTACAAACATAAAATTCACAAAATAACTATCATTTCATTAAAATATAATTAAATTCAAAAACACTACTTAAAATATAAATGAGCACATACATTAAATTAATAAAAATTACCTTACAATCCTAATTACTTTAAACTAAATCATTGCTAATAACAATTTCCCAATAATACCAAATTCCTTTCCACCTTACATTTAGAACAATGCATAAAAAATATATCCTCAAATAATTAAAAATACTAACTTACCTAATCTTCTTCAGAATCTTGATTACGTGGCGGATACACACTTTCTAATTGATTCAATAAAATTATTGAAAGATTTTTTCTGCGAATTTTTCCTCCATACTTCGCGCTAAATAAAAAGCAAACTTCTCTTTATCACAATGCCTAAATACCCATTTCGAATTCAATTTAGTTAGGGCCATGGGATCCAAAAATTAAACACTGTTTCACACAACACAGAATAAAGCTAAATACAAAATTTTCACATTTTTTCCCGATTTCCCCCCTTTTCCGATTAAAGAACCGTAATTCGTCCATTAATATCACATGACATATCCCATGATCTCTCATTTCCCTCACGTAAAATAATGCGTAATCGGAACTGAGTACTGCTCACATTATTACCAAAGTCCCAGGTAGTAACCTTTATCGCCTCCAAAATGTCGCCAAACTACCAGTTACCATATTGTAAAGATCAACCGAAATTACTTTGATGTGTTTAAAGTGTATGGAATACATCTATGATGTTTACAAACTCTGCTAGAACTCAGTTTCGGAGTATTGTCATTATAATGTGATTGTTGATGTTAAATTTAACAAAGAAAAGTTGGGTACATCCTAAAAAAAAAAAAAATCTGGTTAATAGTATTTTAATGCTGCAACTGTATTTGAAATTTTTGTTTTAGAGTTACAGAAAGTATGGCATTGTTACTCATTAGCAAATTTAAAAAGTTGTCATTAATTAAAAATTAATATTGCATTCCCTGTCTAATTTAAGCATGTTATGGCTTTTGGTAAGTGCTGTTCCCTTTTTTTAAATTAAAATAATTTATGCATTTTTCATAAAACATTTATTTTAAAATTATGATGGAGCTGTTCGTGTTTTGATTTACAGTATCAAGGCTAGTCTTGTTTGTAATATTCTATTCTAATTTCTTTGTGCTAAAGTTAAGTCTCAATTTCATTCTGTTGTGCAGTGCCACAAGCTTTTAAATAGATTTTTTTTTTTTTAGGCTGAAATACCTATGATTATTTAGAGTGATTATAAATGATTCATCAGGTCTTAAAAAACTGTGTTTTAAATGTTGCATATGGAACAAAGAATAATATATTAAAATATAGCATTAAGTATTTAAGGTTTTGCTCATATCATCACTAACTTTCAGGGTGGCTGCCTTTGATCTCATGTCTATGTGGTAAACTCAATCCATAATGAATAAAAATGCATTAGTAATATAATTCTTGAGCTCAGCTAACATTTTCAGCAGTATGTTCATATAAATAGAATCATTAGCATACCCCTGAAGAAAGAAATTTATAAACTGCTTGGCCTGGTCATTGCTGAGGCCATGTGAGTATGAAATAATCTTCAGTGCTTTGCTCAGTCAAGTAATGTGGAAGTTCTTTGTTGAGGAAGCCATGCAGATTTTAAAATTGAGACATATGTTTAAATATTTATTTTTGTGTGTTATTCATTATTCCATGTATAATATTTTTTTAAATATGTCATGTTTATAAACTGAGATAAATTGTTTATAATAACTCTGCGTTGTTTTTGCTTCAGCTGTATTTATAGTAGCTGATTTATATCAACATAGTGCTCGTATAATTTAGCTGGGATTTATATACAGTCAAAAGTCGTTAATTCGGACACCCATAATCCGGAATGATCTATAATCCGGACCTCAAAGCTACAAACTTTCTGCGCATGTGTCGCCTTCACGCATGCGCAGAGGCGTTTACGAGTGCGAGTAAGACCTTTACGGCTGCGAATATGCGTGTGCGCATGCGCGTTTAATGTGTAACGGACGGTATAAGCTAAGCTAAAATTATCTAATTCAGTTAATGTTGCAGATTGCG